GGAAAAAAAAACTAAAAACCCAAAACTAGTGTGGGTACTCCATACTATGCACCAAGATGAAGCACAGATCAAGGAATATACTATGGAAACACTATAACTTGTGGAACTTGTACAAACAATTACGCACGAAGATGTTATGAACTACCAAGAAGTGGTTCTCAATCTATGGTATAGCTAGTGGTCCTTAAAATTCTTAAGCAGCAAATACGTCAGACTTTGCATAATGCAATAAATGGAGATCATAAAGGTGTTACATCCACTTGTACTAAGATGTAACAAATGTTTTACTGGTAAAATTAGAAGCAAAGTATAAAGTAGAACTAAACAGGCTAAACTCCCACAGAGAATAGTTGATTCTACTTTTTAGAAAATAGTTCTAGATACTGCTATTCATTTGCCAGAAAGCTAACATGATAATTGGTCATTATCAATTCCTTCATTAAGTAGGCTGAGTCTTACCTATTGGCCGTTACTTCAGCACAGTCTGTCACTGATCAATTAGTAGAACCATGAATAACCCAATTTGACACACCCCAAAAAATTCACATGGGTGAAGGAGCTAATTTCAATAGCCGAGGATTACTCTGTTTGTAAAAAGTTGAGTGTGGTAAAGACAAACACTTTCCCTTATCACCCTCAATTTCATGGTGTAATACAACTATCAAGCTGATGCTTGCAAAGTTTATTATTCCCTATTGAACTGACTGGGATGAGTCCTTGCCATATGTCATGATAGCATATGATGCAACAGAACAGAGATGAGGTAGTTGTTTGCTGAACATGTTCATTTTTTGTCAGGAAATTATACTCCTTGTGGATGTGATGTACAGTCTCCTCTCCTCTCTGGAGCAGATGTGCCACAGTTTCTTCAAGAATATATGGAGTTGCGAAGGCCTGCACTGATTGGTTCACACAATTTCATGTGTTAAGGATGCTGAGAGTATGTTTTGTATTATCTTGACCCAGCTGATGAGAAGAAAGATGGTGAAAATACTTAGCATGCTATACAAGATGAGAAAGCACCTTGAAAATTGGTACAAGATAGCTCTGGGGCTCAGCCAAGATGGCAATGATGACATCTTGATTGTTATAGCTGGAATTAAATGGCAGATCAGCAGTTAGGATAGTCACTGGTCATGATCAATGAATAAATGGTTGTGGCATTTCTTACTTTCTAAGATATCAAATAGTATTTCAATATGAAATGTATGCACTTAGTTATTAGAAAGTTAGGATGGTTTCTTTGTTGCAAGATTGTCTGGATCAAAAGAGCATTGTGATTATTATGTTCCAGGAACATCAATGCAGCACTGCTTCACATTCCCTTCTAGCCTGTATTACACTTGCACAATGACTAGCCTATTTTGGGTATTTGTATGGGAACAGTGTCTACATTCTCGTCTCCAATTTTTTCATGCTGAATCCTGGATCTGTTTTTAAACAATCATACTATAATGAAAGGAATGTTCCTGGGTCCAGGATAACTATATGAGCTGTTGTCATTAACATGGCAGTGGCAGTGGAAGATAGTACAGCTGAATTTTGGACATGCATAACACCTGATGAACCTGTTGGATCAGGAGAGCTAAAGCTATAAGGGATACATTGTTTATCTTATATCTAAATCCTGACTTTATCTTAAATAGTCCTTCTGGCTACCATATTTTCAACAAGTCAGTTGTGTGCATTTACATTATTTTCTTGTTGCTTTGGCCTTCCAAGTTCTATGCTGGCATGGAAGGAAAAACTTTCAATGAGAGCTTCTGTTTTGGTGTCATCAGAGACTTAGAGAGCAAACTAGAAGATTCAAACATACTGGTGCCAGTCTGACCTTTACTTCAGCAAAGCACATGGATGAAGCTGCATTGCTGACCAGTGCATCTTTTGTGAAATAAATGAACTCTCCAGAGCCATCCTAATCAATCGCTGACCAACCATTGACATCCAGGCCATTAGGAGAAGGTAAGTAAGGACCATAACACCTCCAATAGCCGATATGACAATAGACCCCAGCTTGTTCATCGCCTGACTGATGATATTGACACCAGGGCCCACTCTAGCTCCAGTTAAGCCAGACTGATGAGAGATGTCAAGGAACTGGGTCAAATACATAAAAAAGATAACATATTAATAAACAGAGATGAAGAACTGGCGAATATCTATTCAAAAATGTGGGGTGACCTTCCCTAAAAAGTTCACACGAGAATTGTAAACTTGTGCATAGGTCAAATGATGTATTTAACCAAAAAAATAACAAATAAGACATGATTATATATTACAATTCACTTTTGAAGATGGTGTTGCAACGTTAAAATATGTAAAGTAAACTTTTTAATGGTCATAGATTGTGTACCTATTTTAAAGTTGTGTTTTATTTATTATTTTAATTGTCACAGGTGTTTACATATCTGATAAGATCATCACCCATCACAGTCAAAGCAGAAGTTTTGAGGAACTTTTCCAAGTTCCATGAAGGTCCACCTGTGTTAATATCACCAGGGGCTAAGGCAGAGGAAGCACCTGCGACCTCATAATTCAATGTGGGGCAATGATATTAACTACTGCTTCTCCACTTCCAGCTAAATGGTCTCAGATCCAAACTCAACAACCCAGTAAACTAGACTGCCCACTACACACCTAAAAGAAATACAAAATACCTTATACTTCAAAAGAAACTTGCCTTAAAGGGTCACTGCCAGGAGCAAACATCATGTATTATTAAGTAGAGATGAAGGTCCGGCGAATATCTATGCAAAAAATGTGGAGTGACCTTTCTAAAAAGTTCATGTGAGTAGTAAGGGAGGCATTTTAGCATCCATAGAATGCTGTCTCAAGCTGATTGGCTGCCTCAAGGCATGGGGAGATCAAAGGATGCCGGCGGAGTAATAAAAGATGACTAGGTCATAGTTCATATTTTTTTCAATAGAGGGCGCTACATGTATGCTCGCACGTGTCCATCGCCGTCAAAGATGACGATGTCATAGTTAATATTTTTGCCAACATAGGGCGTTACAGGTATGCTCACGTGCGTACATCGTGTGTATATGTGTGACATGCGACCATGTTGTGCTAAAAGTCACATGTGTTCATTATCATCAAAGATGACGAGGCTCATATTTTTGTCACTAGGGGACGCCAGATACATGTATTCATCGCCATCAAAGATGACGAAGTCATAATTAATATTTTGCCACCAGAGGGTGTCACAGGTATGCTCACGTGCGTACATTGGGTGTGTGACAGGCGACCATGATGTGCTAAAAGTCACATGTGTTCATCGTCATCTAAGATGACGAGGTTCATATTTTTGTCGCTAGGGGCGCCACATACACACGCGCGCGCGTGTGTGACAGATGGCCATGTTATCCAAACAATTAAAGACCCCAAAAAAGGCTCACTTATACTATAATTAAAATGTACTCAAATGATTAAATATTTCAGTGATATTATTATAATAAAAATCTGGATACAATAATTATTTTTAATAATTTATTTTTACCAGTGAAATCCAGTTAGTTCAACTTTGGTGCTAACCACAATGTAGACATTGCTATTAATTCTTGCCACCAACCGTTGGTACACATCTGGCGAAATAAATTCTCTCTCCTCCTGGAAATCAACTCCAATAAACATGTTTAAAAGCTTGTATGTTCTAAGAAGTGAGTAATTTTCAGTGACACTTAGATTTATTTTGCACTTATACCACCAACCTTACATTCAATTTTATAGGCCTACGAGCTATTTTTTCTTGTTACATCATGGATCGAACTTGAAATTGCCTTTCATTGAGGTTAGGGTTTAGAGAACTAAAGGTGTGCATCAATGCTCCCTGGCTTTGAAGGACGAGGATGTTTTGAATACGCTGATGGCATCACAATAAGAAAATAATGATAAATCATACTAGCTTTGTAAATAGATTTGCCATCTGCCCAATTTTAGAATGGAGTGACTGGTGTTTTGTGATGTATTTTAGTTTTTCGGTTTGTGAAGCCCAACTCCAGTTTCATTGCTTGGAAGGAAGAGAAAAGTTGAGAATTTATCTCATAGCTATTAACATGTATGAGTGGTTTGGCAGCCATATTTCGTCACCACAAGAAACGATCCGCTATACAACCACCAGACGTCAACACCGCATTACCATTTGGTACAAAAATATGAATGATATTGAAATGAAAAGGTAACTCCACATAAGGTTTTACTAAAACTAAACAACATAAGTTAACAAAAATTATTTCAAGGCTGCATGTATTCCAGAAGAGTTTTTTAGACCAAAAATCTTTGCAAATAAGGAGGTATTTTTAAACCAGTACAATTACAGTAGTCCACCGATTCCATAAAACAAGTTGATAGGTTTCATTACCAATAGCCGATTTACTATGAGAAAATATAACGTCAACCCCTTCAGGGAAAGTTCGTTCCTAGTAGGAAGGAAGACTGCTAACTATTAAGTTATTCGTTTTTGGATTTTACCATCATTCTTATATCACACCGATGGTTCCTCAAATCATCGACAATCTGCTTAGCATTCCGAGTCGATATTTGTCATGTCACGACTGGTCCAAAATGAAAATTTAATTTATTGAGCAAATGTGAACTGAAATGTATTTTCTCATGTCAAAAGATATTTTGCTAAACTTTAAAAAAGTATGTTTGTGTTTACTGTTTTAGCATAGTGTTTAAAAAAAAAAGCTGTACATGTTGTGCCTATCTAGATCAAATCACGAATTCTATCGTTATAAGTCTTCAAGCAAACAGCTGGCTAATGAGGGGTCTAAAGAAAAATTAATTATTCCACTGATGAGGTTTTTACATTATTTGAATTCTAGGTGAAAGCAATGATGAAATAGATAAAATAACTTACATATGTATTTTATATATATTTAGTTTTTATAATTCTTTGCTATAAAACGACACATTGAATATCAGTGGCTCCCTCGTAAGAATTTTTGTTCGTGACGTCACGATATTTAACATAACCTTGGTAGATTAGACCTAGAACGACGGAAGAAGTGAAATTTTATGTTTGTGTAATTGAAAATAGACTGATGTGTAATCATCAGTTGTCAAGAGAGTTATAAGGTCATTTCAGTTTCTGTTTTTATAGAAAAACATTTAATATTAAAAAAAGATTTAATGGTGTGAAAAATATATTACTATTTCTAATACTAAGTATTAGAGAAGGTTTATATTAATTAGAGAATTCTTATGCCTAATACTTGTAATAAGTAATACTAATAGTATTTATTAGTACTAAGTAGTAGTAGTGTTACTAATAGTAAAGTGATACATATTAGTGTACACATTATACAGTATACTTTGTACCATAGTAAATTAGTAGTTATCGTAATATGGTTAACTATAAGCAAAATGTCTTAAATTTAAGTTATTGTTTTGTTAGCCTAACTTTAGCCTCTTGTTAATCAGTCTTGAAGTTGAACACGAATTGAAGTGTGCAGTGTCCCTTCCATATACTACTACAGTGCTAGTAGTACTATTAGTAATAGTTCATGTAATACTGTTAGTGTTACTGGTACTGGTACATATTGAAGATAGTAATATTCGCACGTTTTGTATAGACAGGAAGCCAATCAGTAGTATAAATGAAGAAAAGAATCATGGTATATTGGCAGATAAGCTCATCAGTTTATCACTGTATCAGGACATTGATCATTTGCTAGTGAGACTAATGGAATTTTAGAGTGTAATTATTAACATTGATTACAATTCAAAATATGTAATTATATATTTATACAAATTAATAGTAAAGCTTCTCTTGGAATACTGTTTAAATTAAAACTGTTATGGTAGAAATGACACATGAATGTTTGGTGTAGTAGTCCATAGCTGTGCACACTAAAAACAGATTGATTTAGCTTTATTAAATTGTTAAGCACCAAAAAAAAATGGATTTGACCTTATGTTAACTTTATATTTTTTGATTTAATATAATTGGTACAGTAATTTACAATGAGCAAACAAACACTTGTAAAATAAAACTTTATTGCAACACAACTAGGTACGTGCATACATTCTTGTCCACAGAATCACTAGAACATTTAGGGCATAGATTGTTAATTGCGGAATCTTTATTTCTTGCTAATACCTGGGTCTGTGCTATATATACATCTTGTTTCATATTAAGAAAAAACAAACTTTATTGTAATGTAATGTTTTATTTATTTTACTGGACATACACCTTAGAAAATAACACTGACTATTATAGAGATATTTGGTTTACCACACTACATATGAGTGCTGAAGTTTTGTAAGTTGTGGCTGTTATGTTTTAAAATAGTTTCTCAACTCATAAACAGTAGTAGTACCAACCAAAATGATGTCATCATATTATAAAGATTGTGTTTTTTACATGCTAAATGAATATAAAATACGATATATTGCTACTCAGTTTTAAGAAAAGGGGAGGTTATTCAGATAAAACTTAATGTTCTTTTGAACAAGGAGCAATAGAGTATTAATACTCATATTTTGCACAAAAGTTGAGATGATTGTTCCAGTTTCTCGTAGGTAACACTATTTTGCAAGGTCTGTGATTTATACAAGTACAGAATGTTTTTGAGAGAAATATTCATCCTTTGGTCAATTTATTTTGGTGCAGACTGTGAGTATGTGTGACTTTTCTGCACCCTTGTTCAGAACTTAAAAATTCATATTTTTGAAAACCATTCCTGTGCAGTTGTCTTTACTCTTGCTCTAACTTACTAAACATGGAAATTCCAAGATATTGAGCATTTTGTAATTTAATATGACATAAAATTTAAGGACCGTAATGGGACTGTTTTGTCCACTGAGGCTTTAATGCACCAAACTGAAAACACAGAATGCAATTTGCTACAGGTTATTGACAAACCAGTTGAGTACAAAATATCTCAGTCAGTCTTGCCCATCATAACTGTGCCAACTTTTGTTTTTAAAGCTGAAAATCTTAATTACATCAAATCAGGTAGCCTAAAGCCACATATCAGTTTTGTTACAGTTATAAGATAAAAGTGAGCTTATACCTTCACATTGTCACTATAAAACATGAGAGATTTTGTCATTTATTGAAGATTATCACCCATTAAACACCATCTAACAAAATATTTAAATATGCATAATATTCAGATGTAATTCAATCTTTTTTACTAATTGTGGAAAAATGTTTAAATATAGTATCATACAATATAGTTCATGAGAGTTGTGATATTTCATTTTATCATGTATTTATTGCTTCATATAAACTGTTACTTGCTATTCCTGCAAATATGCAACACAAAATTATCCAACTTTATCTAGTGCATAATGATATTACTTGTTATTCATGTCTTTTAATTCTCCCAGAGGCCCTATAATTACCCTTCCCTTCTTGTATGGGATATTACATTGCTTTTTCAGTTCATACTGTACCTTCTGTTCGAATCCTTAGCTACTATCTGTCATTTGAGTCTTTTTATGATACTTGTTATATTTGGCATCTTCACTCTAACTTGTATAGTAGTGACACTTCCAGGATTCTGTTTTGCTGGAATGGTTTACAGCTCTTCCCTAACTGTAACCTTCTGACTACATCCTGGTGTCTTGGAGAGGTTATAAAATGTTCTTGCCATTTTCATCTCCTCTCTTTGAACTCCTTGTGAAAAATAATGTTCCTAGTAAGAGGACTGTATTATTATGTTACCCAAATGAGGCTATCCATTTTGAGTGCTCTATTTGTTCATTCTCTGCAACAGAAAACTTGTGACAAACTTACTTATAGTCACTGTTTTAGGCTCATTATCTACGTGAATGTTTATGTTCAAGGTCTTTTGGGGATTTTTCTTGGCCAGTTATATTGTGTTTTTGAATTATGTCAGTCTGTTTTTTTTATGTCTCAGATAAAAATAATTTTAGCCATTACAGTGGTTTTATGTAAAGTTTACTCATAAGGGAACATACAGCAAATATTGAAGGATGAATGGATAATACTACTTTTCCCTGTCTTTATTTCCCGCTGAACAATGGATGATGTCATACTGAATGCACTTTTTTTCTTGTAATTTTGTGATTGGTTAGAATTAAATTCTTATTTACATACATTTTCTTGTTGTGTAATTGAAACTACCAAGAATATGGTAAATTAAGATGTAAAAACTAACTTTCTACCTTACTGAACTGGAACAGCTAAACACAGCTTGATGCTAGGTGACTGCAAAGAAACCAACACTTATGCATACAGTGCCAAACTAATGTTAAATAACTCTTACAAACAATAGGACATGATGGCCAAGAGCAACATTAAAACAAATGATGGCCTTTTCCAGGTAAATCTTAATATTGTTAATGCTGTAAGCTAGGTGTATAGTTATTTTGCTTAAAGTTATAAATGTATTTACTTGTCTTTATATTCTGATAATGAGAATGAAACTTCTTTTTTTTTACATTCAAGTGTTTATTATAATAATTAAAAAATGTTTTACTATATTATTATAACCTGGATTAAATATTCCTCTTAACATATGCCTTAGATAGATATTGGGAAAAATGAAGGTTATGTAACTAATGTTGCCAGTTAGTTTTACAAAAAATACTTGTTTTTGTAACATACTAAATTTTGTTATTCTTATTGAAAAAAAGTTTGAGTTTTTTTTATTAATTTCAGAACTAACCATGTACAATATTACTAGTATTTGATAAGCATCTTATATTTATGATAATAGGCTTGTAAGTAAGCTAGTTATTTAAACTATATTTTTTTACAGTTTTGATATTTATGATAGCAGTTGAATGGTTCTGTGTTTTCAACTCGACAAAGAAGTAAAATGAGTAGAGTCATCCATTTCAATGTCCAGAAAAAATTACAATGGCTCTATATGATTGTTTCACAACAGCTTTAACAATTTTCTCTTCAAGATGACAGTGCAAATTCAGTTATATGAATTGTTAATATTTGCTGCAGTTTTCTCCTCCGTAGCACCAGTGTCAGGTAATGCAACATATTTTCATAAACTATTTTTTTATTGTTTATATTCTTTTTATAGGTGGGTTACATGCCAAAAAAGTTAAAACAATTGTATATAAGACCATCATTGCATCTTTGCATTGATATATATGTTCGAAAAGTTCCAAAATTTGTAATGTTTAAGAAGGAAGGTGCATGTAGTATAGTGTAGACAATGTTTATGTAGTTTTTTTATAAAATATATGTATTTTGAGGTGATATGGCCTGCCATGTTTATTTCTTAAGTACATAAAAGCAAAATATTTTGTAGGATGATGTTTAATGAGTGAAATAGCATTTGGCACTATGACACTCATGTTAGCAAACATTTGATATGTACCATGACTATTGTTTTTCTTTAGGGGCTATTATTTAGTTATGTTCTTTGTGTATAAATTTTTTGTCCAGTATTGTTTTTCAAAGTTGCTTTATGTGTGATCGTCACTTGTACAACATGTTACAAATCTCAAGCCACAGTTTTTTTAGGTGATTTTAGTAATTACTACAATATAGATAAAATAATATTGATCTTGCTTTATAAGTTTATAAACTTAATAGTTGTATAATAATACCATGCTTAAAGGAAGATATTTTATGCTTTTTTTATGATAATGTATTAGTCTGCAAAATTAACTTTTACATTACTGGTTCACAGGCAAATTTACAGATACTGTGCACTAGACCTTACAACCATCATGATTATGATACTTAGGAATACAAACACAATTTTTTTTTACATTTGGTACAACATTGGAAATAATTACGGAAAGGCACAGTTGATACACTTATAGGAGTCACAAATAATAAGTGAATGTAACTAAATGATCAATTTATCCTTAGTACAATACATTATTATAGAAAATGCAAAAGAAAAATCAATAACTTGTATAATATACTACTATCTTGGATTTGCTTTAAACAGAGCAGTACACTTTGCTTGTGAGCTACCATAAGTTTACCAGTGTATAATTCTGAATATTCTGTATTATTCCCCACATTTCAGTTGTATTGTCTGGTTACCTTCTGACTTTTTCAGTTTCTCTATAAGTCCGTAGAACTTTAATGATATTTATATTGGGATTTTGTCTGGGCCATGCCGTAGTTGCCTATGTTCCTTTGGCCTGTTTTTTTCTTCCTTATATCATTACACCACATTGCTGCATGCTAGGGATCATAGTCTTGCTGGGAGTGGAATCCTTGACAAACAGAACATGAGCAGGGAGAATCTGATTGTTTCTGTCAGTAGTCAGTGCCATCAGTCTTGTATAGATTTTCAATAAACCATTAGTAGCTGAGTTGCAGCCTACATTTGTTTCGATCCTTCATTATGCCTCACTGTGGATCTTTTTTGTTGATTGATGCCATTTTCCTATATTGCCATCAAACTATCACTGATTATTGGCAATTTGAATTTGGATTTTTTTTATAAATAGTAACCTCTTCCAGCTTTGCTCATACCAATATTTGAAGTCTTATCAAAAATCCAAACTGAGCATATGATTCTTTCTCCTGATCAGTTACAGATCCAAACTATTCCTTGGATAAACTCCATTTTTGAGTTCATAATAAATATCTAAAAGTACTGCAGAGTTTAATATGAATTGAGCTGAGAATTTAAACATGTGAGGAGTAAAGAGGATTTCATCTACTGCTTTTCCTCTGTAGTTGTACTAAACTACATGCTATGTGCCATTTTGGTATACTACCTTTGTGGGAGTGATGCTCAAGTTGAAGATTATTTCTGAAGCTATCAGCTGTGTATCTGCACTTGCTCTAAATAGTACTTATCTTATGCCACGATTGAATATTTAATTCCTTTTTTAACAATGCTACTGGCAGTTATTGTTTTATAGTGTTTAACATAACTCCTTTGTGCAGGGCCATGTGTTTTTTCACTCAATCATTTTTTATTGCTTGGATTACGCACATGTTGGATTTATTTATTACTGCATGTTAGCCCAGTACATTTTTGAATCTATATCTTCTTTTCTTGTTTCCGGTATCTCTTTTTTTTTTTTCACTTCTTGTTCAATGCATGATATGTCTTCGTTTTTTCTCACTTATTGTTGCATTAATGAAGGCTTTCAGTACTCTCTTCAGTTGAATTGACCATTCCAGTTTTCTAGGTTAAACAATTTTAACAACCTTTTTTACTTGAATATCATGCACTTTTTTCTTTGAATCCATCCGATTTAGGCCTGACATAAAATCTAAAATAGCATTGTTTCTAATAGATTCCTTGACCAATAGGTGAAGAAAACCATCTTGAACAGTTTTCAAAAAACCTTTCTCCCTCATTGTTTGTCTCTAGCATTTCCCATTCCATATGTCTGAAATTAAAATCACCCATAATTATGCCCTCATTAACATCTGAAATCTTAATCTCACTGTAAAGTTTCTCCCTAATTTCATCAGTATCATTTGGTGGTCTGTAAAAAAATTCCCACTAAAAGCCTTTTCCTTTTATATCCACTAATAGAAACCCAAATGGATTCAATCTTGTTGTTATATTTGATATCCTCAACTTCAACAGGATATAACTCGCATTTTACATATAAAGCCACTACTTCCCCTCTCTTTTGTACTCTATCCCTATTAAATAACCTGTTGTATTTCAAATAAATTTCTGTCATCATAATCAGTTATTCTGATTATATAAAAATACTCCATTCCTGTCAGTACCTTAGTCATCTATTTTATTTGTTATACTACCAGTACTACAATAGTAACAATTAAGCTTATCCTTATAACTACTTCTATACTCATTTCCTATGCTAAACTTTTCTCTTCATCTTATTTTTTTTTGTGTTTAGTTTATCCTGGCCATCACCGCTGTCTAGTCCTAGTTTAATTCTTCTGTTACATCTGAATTAATAGACCTTGCAAACAAACCAGTCTCTACCCTATTTAAATGTAAACCATCCATTCGAAAAAGCTCACTTCTCCCATTGAACTTATCTCCCAAGTCCAATCAGCCTACCTGCTCATCCTTACATATTAACCAAAGCCTAGCATTTAGCCCTAGTGACCTACTCGTAATATCATCCCCGCAATTAATTCTCAGCAGTATTCCTGATACATTTCATATTAATGAATTAATAATTTCTAAATTAATTTAACTATTTTAATATAAATACTTTAATGTTCAATTTTGAATTGTTATATTGGAAATGTTAAATATCTTTTTAGCTTATTATTAGTATATATGCACATAATATATTCAGTAGGGTGGTTTTCGGCGCGTGAATTATTTGGAAACCTTATCGATTCCTACTATTAAGTAGTACCGTACTTAATAATGATTTCAATTTAGTTCTGATCAAAGTTACCTTCTGTGAATGGAGTTATTGCAAAACTTGCTGATACGAATAACGGGTGATTGCATATGTTCTCTAGGTTGTTTTTTTTTTTTTTAAGAAAAGGCATAAAACTTTTAGGGTCAGGGACTATTTTCTGGGGCTGGTCAAGTGACTTAAGTGCAATTTTTTTAATCCAGGCCTTATAAAGGTCGTATTCCAGTGTGTTTATATTTTATTAGAGAGTTATGGGTTCAAGACATGTTAAACCTTGTCAAAACTTCCACTGGGACATAAGTTCAAGAACGTAAGAAGTGTGGTGTAACAATCATAACACATACACACACACATACAATGTAGAAAAATTTAGTTTTATAGTCTCTTTAACACTAAAGAAAAATATTGCATAAATTATAATGTAAAATCATTAATTCAAATACTTTATTCAACATTAAAAGATACAGTTAAGCAATTATAAATTAAAAATGTAACATAAAGTAACCCAAGAGTTTACAGTGAATGGTGCCAGATAGTTGCCCCCCCTCTGGTCGGCAGCTCAAAATTAGGGACAGTGGCAGGTAGTCTTAGAAACTTTACCATAATTCAAAACTAAAGAAAGCTGAACAAATTTGAATTAATAAAAGAAATTATCATGATAAGTCATAATGGCAATATTTTGATGGCTTGGCTAGTTTGATAAACTGCAAATAATAATAACTGGAAACCCTAAGTTTAAATAATTGATTACTTTGGTTTGTCATGACATTAATTGAATAAGCTGAACAAAATTCATTTCATCGAAAAATAATGGTGATTACTTGAATAGTTTGATTGACCAAAAAAGTAATAATCATTAGCACTAATTTTGATTAGTGGGTTCATTTTTGTGACATTAATTAAGTCATAATTTCAAGTAATCAATTATTTTACAGGACACAAATTGATGCAATTGATTCTTATAGATAAGTGAGTTAATCATCTAGGTCAAATCTTAAAGCATCATTTTACCTGTAGAACCATAGTTTATTTACTATTTCTCATTTAGATTTATAGACATACAAGTTTGTTTGGCAAAGTAATTATTTTTCATTCAAACTGTTATCACTATTCACATGTGCAGTTTGACAAAACAGTTTTCTGGTGCTATTACTGCTTTGATGGGTCTTATATAACAGGATAAGAGTATGTAAAAATGTTATAATTTTTCATATTCTAAGGTAGGAAAGCTGCTCTGATGTGATACTGTTAAAGTATTAAGTATTTTAACAAAACTAAAAAAAAAAAACAGATTCATTTCTTTGAAATAATTAACTGTTATATACAACTTATATTTTTTTATAAACTATACCATTTCCCTTGTTTGAGAAACTGTACTAATAGAAGAACTTCATAATTTTTATGCCATCTACACCATTTTATTTTATTTTATTTTGCTATTAATTAAGTTTGTAGTACTACATGTTTTCCTCTCCTCTTAGTTTAAGTTAACTTCACTAAATGTTTCTTTTTTCTCTGAAATTCCTAAGGTTGTAACATAGCATTGCTCAAGCAAATTTCTGACTTTAACTTTCCCAAGGTGCTAATTGGGTCAAGTGGATAGTAGGTGTTTTTTTTTGTCTAATTCTTTTGCAGAAATAACCTGCTTTTTAATTAGCACATTAAGTTATTATTTTTGGCAAATTGGGCATAAACTGTGGATGATACGCAATCAGATCTTCAGTGCCCTTTGGCCAACTGATCTAACAGATACCAGTCACTGTTTTCTTGTCTTAGGAACTCAAGGTTTTTTTGCCATATTTATATCAGTGTTTGAGCCTTAGAGAGCAGATTTTCACCCAGATTTGACTGAGATTGGTTGCATATTTTCACCTGTATAAATGTTAAAGGGATTTACTAGAATAACAGGATTAGTTTCATTTTGATTTTGAACAGTATTTTTGTAACATTAACTTGTTTTGATTGCTTGTAATATGCTTGTACAGTATTATTTAGTTTCACTCTCTGAGAACTCTTTTTCAATTTCTCTGGTAACTTGATGGTTAACTTTTATTTTTGTTTGTGCTGGTGCTTTTCAGCTTTCACCTGTAATTTAATTCAGTAGTTGTTTAAGTTGTCAGTGAGCAAACTGTGTATAAGTTACTCCATAAGACAGTGGAGCATAAGCTTATATTTGAAGTACAGATTATTATTAATATTTAATTAGGTGAAACTTGTTCACTCATATAACAACATGATCACTTACATTTTATTGTATGATAGTGCATTGTTGTTTTACAAACTGTGAAGATCTTCATTAAATATTTGTTCCTTGTGTAAATCTGTATCCTGTCTCATTCTTTGTGACCCAACCATCATACTTGTTGGGAAACAAACCCGCATACAATATCTGCAAACCTCTTGTTTTTGCAGGCCCAGACTTCCTTGTATTGCCAGAAATTCTTGAGATACCACAAGTTAATGAGGATGATTGATCAGTTTTGATTTAGTATTATTTGATACGCATTTTATTTATGTATAATGGGAACTAAGATTTCCAAATTTATTGCTATAGAATTCACTGTGAAGGTGAAGAAATATGACATGTCACTAAATCACATATTTACTTCCATAAGTTAGTTACGTGGCTCAAATCAACAATAATTTAGTGATATATGGTTGAAATATAAAGCAAAGGAACTTTAATGGATTGGTCTTAAAGAATTTAACTGGATATTGTTTTATTGTACACATTAGTGAATATTTTTAAAATTAAGTTTGAAAAGTTTATATATTTGCAAAAAAAATACAGCATTGATGTGTTTTATGTCAGTTATATTGTAATTTTGACATAGCAAATTGCCAGTCAACATTACTATAAGTTAGATGGTAATTTAAGAAATTGGCAGGTGTTTTTGATGTATTTGATTAGGTGGTAACATTGCTTCTACATACATGTCATTTTACTAAAATAAAACAAAAAAAATCATTTTTTATACAGCATTGAAATGTCACTGTGACATATGTGGAGATGTTACCAACCATACTTGTGAAACTGATGGTGTGTGTTTTACATCAACCTCACTGAACAATGAAAGGGTTCCTGTACATTCTTATAGGTAAGGTATCAAATGTAGCATAGAATAGACTTTATCTTATGTTAAATGTATGTCTGCATGTCCATGTAAGTTTATATATGTAACTGGTATTACTTTCTATTTATTGATCACCCTCTTAAACATGTATTTAGTTTGGGCTCTAAAGCTTGATTTAAAATTCATCCTGTAAAGAGATTTTTCCCCTTTTTCAAATTCATACTTTAAAAGGTCTTGAAAAATAAGAAATTATTCATCTCTTATTAACTCTCCATAAGAAATGAGTTAAGTTTGACTCAGCTTGGAAGTGTTGAAACTATACAGATTATAACTCTGAATTTACTAAGTGCACCTTCACAAAATTTGGCAAGCTTTTAGTTAACATTATAAGTGTTGTATCAGAAAATCTGGTTTTTTAACTCTTATCTCAATGGGTTTTCCTATGGTCAAAGGGCATGTCATCATGTTTGTAGGCTTGCATTAATCATTTTATAAAACTACTATATTATGACTGTATGTCAGTAAGTTTTGTATCGAATTGTAGATTATAATTCAAATTTCAGGATTAAACATTAGTTAATTTCTTAATTTAAAAGTAAGTATTAAGAAAAAATTCCTAAATATTGATTTTTGTTTGCCATGTGGTATGTTGAATGCAGCTTTTGTTCAAATTGGATGTTTGGGATGCCCAACTACAAAGTCTGTGGTTTCTTATGAATAGAAACTCAAATTATCAATAATGACAAACTGTAATATAAAATAAAAACCTCTTATTTTTTCTATTTGTTGAGATATCACTATTTAGTGAATCAAACATAATGGCCCCGCCCACCTCTTCCACTTTTGGAAATACTTCCGTACTTACACCTATTTTGCTCTATGACATGTTTATAACCAATCGAAACCTCAGAATGTCCCCCATGTGGTTTTCTCAGACTTCGTGAAGTGTTTACATGGTAGAATCAAATTGGATAGGTAAGAAATAATGGAGCTTGAAATATATTTTTTTAGACCCAAATAACGCTTAGTTACAAAGGCTGATAAATTACAGTGGAATTCTGTGTTATTGATATAGCAACTTATTATTTTTTATTTCAAAATGCATATATAAAACCTAAAAAAAATTATTAGGTTTTACTTCCTCCACGTGTGAAATTTGACAAGGCTTGACAAATTATGGCAAGTGGGAAGCGAGTACAAACTTTGTAAGTTGTAGAGATCATTTCTTTATTTACTGTTCTATGTTTTAAGAAAAATAACTGAAATTAAAAAACTTATTTCTAAATTGTAGCAATATGGTTAATGTATCATAAACAAAATGTGACAAAGCCAAGGCAGGTCACTTTGTAAAGGCCAGTTTTATACTATTGGATATGGTAACATGAGTGCATGTGAACTGCATCATTGCAACTTCTGTAATGTTATTCAGACATGGCTTAAAGGTCAATAATATAAAATAATAAAGATATATCTCTAGATGTATAATGTTATGAGATTTAATCTATTTAGACTAAACATTTTGTAGTAATTCTAGAATGAAAGAAGTTTAGTTTGTATATATTTTCCTATTTTTATGGTGGTTATGATGTTGGTCGAATTGACCAAACTCATATAGAGATACTATAGTGAAAATAACAGATAAAATGTAAAGTTTTTCTAAAAAAAATGTTTGATAATGATATAGAGGTTATTAGGAGGTTATAGAGATTTTGCATGTGAAATTTGACAATTTTCTGATGCATAAAAGTATTTTTAATCTTAAAATAAAATTACTTTGCATGTTAAATAGTCAACATTTGAAAAGAAGAAATGGATGGGAAAATAATTACTTAAAAAAAATTTGATATTGTGTGTATGGAAGCATTGTAATATTTACTGATAACCTGCAAAATTACGTGAGGATATGCATACTGTATTAAAAGTTATAGTATGAAAACCATAACAAGAACAAATGGTTTTGAGGTTTGTCCCTGGGACTGAGCCTGTAGTGAGGGAATTAATAAAGTATTACTACTAAAGATTTAATTGTGAATTTAGAAAGCTCTTACTAGTCAATCTGAGTGAAAGTTGATATTATTGCTAAGAATAAAAATACATATTTTCATTTTATAGTTTTATTTGCAAATAACCTTCAGAACTTCCTAAATGAACACCAGAAGCTTTTTCTGGTAGAACTTTGTATTTTATCTGTTATTTTCTTTATCCTAACACTAACTGTAGCGAAATCATCAATATGCAGTGAAATGATAAGTTCAGAAATATGAAAAGCAGTACTAGCTTTCTTTTTTTTAGAAGGAATACAGGTTATAACAGACAATGATAGTTAATCCTAATAGCTTCAGCTTCTCACTTTTTCTCATCTGCATTCTTTTAATTTCATGGTATTATTATTTTAATTTGGATCCCCCCTCCCTATTTGTGAAAAGCAATAAATTACAGTGGGATGTTTCTGGTGCAGCTTAAGGTTAATAAGCTTCAAGATCTTTTCAAACTTTACGTAAGTATCAGTCAGTATTCCCTCTAAGCTACACAGCTGCACAACAACCAATCAAGTGCTGTGCACTTCATTATTCCAGCTGTGCACAAACTCAGTAATGGTGAGGAGTCTCAACACGTTGATGGCCTTAATGACTCTGGCAGTCAATAGGCCTAAAGCCCAAATAACAAACTGGTAGCATTGCAAATCAGTCAAATGATCCAATAGGGTCGATGGTCTAAAAATACCCACCTAAAAAAACTGTTAGCGCACATTGCCTTGATGCTGTTGCACATGAAAATTCATTCTGCACATGGATTGAAAAATCAGAGGGAACATTGGTCTTAGTAACTAACTTAAGAAGTTTCTAGTTTTTGCACTTTCGTTACTTTTGTTGAAAAAGAAGCAAGCAAGAAATTTAGTACTGAGCTTCTTTGCATTTATATGTCATGCTCATTATGTTGGTTGTCCAAAAAATAACTCATTTAGCTTTTAAATATGCAACTTAGAAAACAAAATATATATTAGACACTAGAATACAGTGCCTCAAAACTACTTTAACTTATCTAGATTTCTTGTTTCTAGGTTAAAAAAAATTCCATTTCTGTTCACATCAATCACCTTACTTCACACACATCAAGATTTTTTTTCTGAGCTATTGTTTTTACTACCAAAATTAAATGATCAAACTCCTGAACATCACAGTATTGTCTTTCTGTTGATTTTTGAAGATCATCAGACAATTAGGCATGAGTGAATAATTTGCTTGAAATGCAAAAAAATTTGGTAGGGGCATCTAAAATGGTTTTGACAAATTTATTGATATCTCAGCAAATCAAGAAGGTGTTTGTTATTTCATGTAGCTATATTTTAAATTACCATCAAATTTTTATATACATTTTAAACTAATCTGATTTATTTCAAAAAGTAAATTATTTTATATGTTTACTGTATGCATTATGTTTAATGAATTGTTGACATACTGTTCATAGTGGTTTTATTACAGGTGCCTGAAATTTTGATTATTTCAACTGAATTTTTGTGGACAACTATTGCTATTTTTTTGGTTTCAAGATGATATTATATTTCAGGCTCCAGGATGATGAAGGATTTATACTGGAGCCTGAAATGTAATCTAAAATCCAATAAAAACTCAGTTTGAATATTCAATAGAAGTTCTATGATATTTGTGAATACTAAATGCAGGGATGAAAATAAATGTTTTTTTATTCATTTTTAGTCTATTACTTGGTACATTTGTGTCTGATGTTTATTATAATTTTGAAAAAATTAGCAACGTTACTAAGAAACTACTTGAAATGAAACATTTTCTTTTTCTTTTAATAAACAGGTGCATTCCTAGCAAAAATTTGTTTCCCCCTGAAAATCCAATGATTTGTCTTCACTCAAAACCTGCAAGTTATTATTTTGTAATTAAATGCTGCAGTGGTTCTGACTTCTGTAATCTTCATCTCTCTCCAACATTAACATCCACTATTTCTAAAGGTGAGTTACATGTATTTGGCAAAGTGTGTTTTTTTTTTATTTGGTAGAAGATAAAAGTATGTTATTCGGGGTTGTGTAATTTTTGAAAATACCTTGTGTGAGGAGCAAAATGCTAGAAAAATCTGCTTGCTTTTTTCCCATCCTCTTCTAATAAAACTTGAATATAACATTTAGGATTTTACTCTAATTTAACTGGAAATACAATAAATACAAGCCATGGGAGTTTACTTTTGTCCTGATTGCCATATATCACTCTTTGCTTCTGAGATCTTAATATATATTTGTATTTTATGGTTTTAAACACTTATTCTTTAAGATTTTACAGTTCAGCATGTAGAATACTCCATGCTTGAACTGTTAAAGAAATGACAGTTTATTAATGCTGCCACAAACTAAAATGGTGTTTAATACATATATAATACAATTCTAAGTTTGTAATTTTTATTATATTATGGCTCCTACTGTAGACAAAAGAAATGTAATAGTATTGTTGCAATAATTTAAATATGTTTGTTAGTATGTATGTCACTGAGTGTTTTTAAATTAAAGGAATATTTATGTTTATGTGTGTATAGTTTTGGTTTGAGCTTTTGAGATACAGATTTTTCAATGTTTGTGTGTGCTAGACTTCGGCAGTTCTGAGTTTTCAGGAACTTTCATGACTCCTTAGAAATCTGCCTTGAGTGTTTTCTAATAATAGAATGAATGGTGTTGGAGAAAATACTTTTCCAATGGACAAAGTAAACAAGTAAATCTTTTTGTTCCTCAGACAGATCTTGTCTTGAGTTGAATTTCACATCCTTGTTATGTATCAAGGCCTGTATTACTAATAATCATCATAATTAGAAGTGCTTTTCCCATATCTTTTATAAAAGATAATGTTTCTGTATATTTTTTATTCAGAGTAACATAAAAATGTTACTTCTAAAACCCATTATGGTGAATAGCACAAGATTTATGTATAGTTTTGTAACCAAGATCTTCACTCTACACTGTCACTGACTACTGAAACCATAGAAAAGTTATCCAGTTAGTACACTGCATTTATAATCTGTTAAAAGTCCATTATCCAGTAGATTTGTGTAAGGTTTCCATTAGTGCAATTTACTTGTGAATGATTTAATTTGTCATAGTAAATATTGTGTAAGTGTGCATTACAAGACTGAACAACATCTGGTTTTAAAATTAGTTAATATTAGAAGGAAGCCACAAGGTTTCAACCCACTCAAGTGATCTGGCTCATCATAGGTGCAGGTGAGCAGCTTTTGATGTGTAGGTGTGAAAAGTGAGATCTTATTTCTGGATTTAGCATACATTTAGCATGAGACTAGTTTGAGTGGATTTATAGTTAAATGCCTGACAAAAATACAAACTTCTAACATTATTACATATCTAGGTGCTTCTAACACTTGAATTTTAAATGTTTTGCTACTAGAAGTCCTAGTATATAAAAGAAGTATCTTATAAAGTGAAAGTTTGCCAATAAATGTTCTATTGCAAGAACTATCATTATTGACATATGACAAGCCATAATAAATAGTAAACTTGAGATGTAACATTAAATTATTTGGTTTACCTGTAGGAACTGAACTGGTTTCGTGACCACATCTTTTTTGGCTAGTGGTATCAAATATAACTTTCTTTGCCCAGAAATTCTGCTCTAACATTCAAATGTGATACTTATTCTGCCATTAAACCTGTATCAAATTGATTTTTTAAAGCATTGGTTATGGGTAATATTTGTATAATTCTTATTTATATTTAATAAATACAAATATGATGTTTATTTCATTCAAGTATATTTGACCACTTTTATACATAATTTGAGAGAATTCTGTTTATTGAATTTAATTCATTCCTTTTTTTTCTTAAGTATTCATGTATTTTTAATCTTTGCTCACACTTATGTTACATTGTACACAGTACACATTTTTCAGTTTACTTTGGAACTTATTTTTATTTTTCAAAACACTCAGATTTCATGCTTGTAATCAGTTGCTTCAGTGGTATCACCGAGCATGCATTTGGTGCTAAATGGACTACAGCTAAACATGGATTAAAAGGACTATTTTCAATTAATTCCTTGAAAGCTAAAATGCTTCTGTATTGCTTTCCTCTTTGACACTTGATGGTTTGTGAGTTCTAGAGTGTAGTGATGCAGCACACTATTATTTTTATTGAATTATGATTGTATAGTGGCAGGAACTAAAAAAGCACAAACAATACTGAGGTGTGGTTAGAACAGGTATTTAGGACATTGGAGAACTATTAAGGTATGCTAGCTTGATGATGGTTTTGTGAGGTGGTTAAGGAACTTAACACCAAAAGCCAAGAAGGCAACATGTTTACATAGTTATTTTATTTTAGAAAAAAATTCACCATAAATCACAGTTTTATGCCTTAAAAAGTAAAATGGAAACATTTTCTCATCCCATTGGAGCTCAGGGTGATAACAGTGTCAATGTAATACCTACAGTACATGAGAGGTAACATTCATTGATGAGGACTGCCTTTTTTTTTTATAAATACTGAGTGTTCCCAGATTATGGTAGTTTAAAGGCCTGAAGCCATATAGTGTTGAAAGCATTTTACAGAAGCATTTCTTATGGCACAGTAAATATGTTCTAAAACACTGAAACTGCTTGGCATATGTGACTGACCTTTTTTGTTTCATAACAGGTATGACCATGTGGCTAGCACGTGTGTGTAAAATGAATTAGTGGTTAGAATTCAGAGGTATTAGTTTCAGTGAAAAACCTTCTTTCGGGACTTGAATGTACTATCACATTCAGTATCTTGCATGAGAAGTTTGGTACAAAATATGTATAATAAGCTGAAGATTTTTCACTAGACACTCCCATTCTTAACTGTTGGCATGGTCTTTGAGTTCTCCACCATTTACTAATTATGTGTCTATAATTCTAGCTACTTCTACATTAGTTGATATATTTAGGTAAATTTTTAAATATTCAGATCCTACTCTCTTGAGAACAAGTCCCATCTTGTCTGAAGCTGCTTCATGCATCTTCAATATTAGGTATCACTATAGTGCATTAGATACCATTCCCATTGAAGTATGTCTAATGCCTAGTTATTCAAATATGAAAAGCATGACAAAACTGGGTGTGGCATTACTTTTAAGTTCCAAGTGTATTCAAGCAATCCTTTATCGTAAGGTAATGGAAGGTGTATGCATTTTACTCCTTTCACATTTATGAAATTGGCAAAAAATCTTGAGGTGATGACAATCAAGCTCTAACTGATAGTTAAATCAGTCATTTTTGAGTATGCTTTAATTTTGCCTGAGAGTAAGGTCTTGCTCCACACAAGTTAAACTGTTTAATTGGAAAGTTGTAGCTTGTCAATACAGTCTGCATTAACAATTTACACCAGATTAGTATCTGACCTTACAGAGGTTTAGGCATTTGGCAACTTTTTAATTCTAGTTTTGTTTATAAATACTACCTAAACTTTTCACTGAGTTATTGTAAGTGTTGAAGGTGAATGGCAGTGATTGCTACTGATTATTATATAAGTCTTGCATCTCTAACCTGAAATACTCCAACAACTGATTTTGACCACATTTGTATAGGGCTGCCCCTTAGTAACTTATCACTAATGGATGTTTAATACTATATTGCTTTGACCATATCTGCTCACTGATTGAAATGTTCAGCTGATTCTAACTGTTACTTTAGATTTCCCAGGATATGACTTGATTTTTAGATGCCTGAAATCATAATGTTTGAAGGCTATGTATCATATGGATAGACCCCAGAGTCTAGCATTTTACATAGGATCTCATTGAACATGTATATTGCCAAGGGTTAATTCTCCTATTCAGTGAACAGTGCCAGTGCTCAATGTCTATGATGCACCAATGCATAGAATTCCTATGAATGATTCAAATTTTATTCATATGAATCTTGTTTTATATTGTTTAAGATCTAAGTTATAATTTGAGACAGAACTCTTTGTTTTTTTCATAACCATTTTTCACCTGCAGAGTGAATTTAACTTATTTTTTGTAGTGATGGTTTAGTCAGTGGATTCTGTTATGTGGCTTGTTCGGGTAGTGTTTTCATTGTAGCCTCTCGAAGCAGTAAGTTACTAATTGCCATCTACATGTGATTACAATACGATATTTTATGTTCTCTCAAATAGCTTTTCTTGATTTATACTGCCCTCTATATGCAAAAATTCTTACTCCCTTCTGGCCTTGATACTCCCATCTACATTCACGTTTTCATGCGAAGCAGCTGTGTGATAGCATGTGACAGCCCTCCACCAATAGTAGTGTGACACAACTCCTAGCATAGCTGACTCCCTCTATGCAGCTTAGCTCAACTTTTTGATTGGCACTTGTGGTGTTTAGTCGTAGGTTTTCACTCAAGATTTACTCACAGAATTTCAAATACTTGTTGTGTTTTTTATTTTTTTTGAAAATTTAATTTTTTTTGTTTGCTACACTTCAGTTCTCTAACTTCTTTTTTTGTACATGTTAGTCCTATGGTCAGGGATCATAGGGCATGTCATCACATTTGTAGACTTACATTCAAAATTTTGTTGAACTACTACTTTACGATGTATGTCAATAAATTTGGTGTCAAACTGTAGATTATAATTCAAATTTTTGTACTTTACATTAATTTTCATAGTTTAAAAATAAATATTTAAAAAAATCCTATATATCGATTTTTGTATGTCATGTGGTATGTTTAATGCAGCTTTGGTTCAAATTAAATTTTTGTGATGTCCAAGTACAAAATCTATAGTTTCTTATAAATTAAAAACTCAAATTGCCAATATTGACAAAATACAATATAAAATAAGAACCTCCTATCTTTTCAATTTTTGGCCCTCCAGTGGCATAGCGGTATGTCTACAGACTTAGAACACTAGAAACCAAATTTCGATACCCATGGTGGGCAGAGCACAGATAGCCCATTGTGTAGCTTTGTGTTTAATTACAACCAACCAACTTTTCTATTTCCTGAGATATTATATTTAGTGAATTGACCAAGGTGGTCCCACCCATCTCTTCCATTTTGAGAAATAATTGCCTACATACACTTACTTCATTTAGTGAAGTGTGTATAACCAATCAAAACCTCAGTATATCCCCACGTGGTTTTCTTAGCCTTTGTGAAGTGTTTATGCAGGGAATCTTTTCTTTTCATGGTAGAATTGAAGTGGTAAGGTAAGACAGTATGGAGCACAAACTACATTTTTGTCAGGTGGTCAGAGCCTTTGCCCGTCTTCTCTTATGATCCATTCCAGACAACTTTACGATTGCCTTATATGTCACTCAGCAAGGGAGAACTTGGTCAATGTCTCTTTGTTTTCACGTGTTTGACCTCCTGTTTTAGGTCCACAGCCATCAAAATCGATTGATGGCATGTTATATACCAAGTGCCCTTAATCTGGTCACAGATTGTTTATTAGACATCGACAAGATTCTCACCGTGAAGTGCTCCCTTGACCCACAGGTATTTGGTTAGCTGTTTTCGTGGTGGAATACTCTAGAAATGGATGCATTCACCACCTACATGAATTCCAAACTTTCCAGGTTTTGGTCTCCTATTCCTCATCCTTTGGTTGTAGAAATCGATGCACTCAGTTAGGATTGAGAGGCCATTACCTTTATGCATATCTTTTCATTTGTCTTCTTTATGTACACACAGTCATACAAGTATCTCTGTGTCAAGTCTTCTTAGTGGTACCTCTTTGGCCATCACATCATGAGTTCCTCTTCTGTGTCCACTCCTAGTGACCCCTCCTCTACCTCTCTCACCCTTCCTTCTCAGACAACATCAATTGGGCACACTATATCCTACCCTTCCAACACTCCATCTTCATGCATGGCTTTTGTCTGGTCCCTTGCCAAATGGGCTAGACTTTCCCTGTGGGTTGCTTCATGTCAGTTTACCAGTGTAAGTGGTATGTCTACCGCCATTGGTCTTCTTGTCATGATTTTCTTCCATTCTGTCCTATTCTCCAGCACCTGACTTCCTTCCTTTCATAGCATTTTGATAAAGGGCTGTCGGTATTCACTGTTGCAGGTTATCTTGTGGGTTTGTCATCCACTTTCCATTTTACAAGATTTTGCAATGTCTACTTCTCCGGTCCTCACCCTTTTGTTTCATTCCTTCCCTCTTTACTAATCCTCCACCTCTTACTGTTCTCTATGCCCTCACACTTCCTCCCTTCAAGCCCATGTCTTCCTGTTCCTTATATCATCTCTCTTTAAAGACCTTTTTCCTCCTCCTCTTGGCATATCGATGTCAACATTTAGATTTGTTCGCTCTTTATGTCTCTCACACATTATATCACAGGTCCTATGTCATCCTCTACCCACATCAGTTTTTCATACCTATAACTTTGGCCGCATGTGAGGGCGAATTTGAGTTCACTCCCATTTCTCACCTTTAACCTCCTTCTGATCTGGATCACCTTTTATGTCCTTTCAGGTCTCTCTGATGTTAAATGGCTTGCTCTTGCACTGCTCCCTTCTGTGGTTCCCATTCTCACTTGTTTAATCATTGAAACCCTTGGGTTGAATATGCCAGCTAAGTTGTCTGGTTTATTCTTCCCTTTCTCCTGATGATTTTCATCTCTTCCAAGTCTCCTCCCATCAAATCTGTCACCTTACCACGTCCCTGGCTGCTGAATTCTGTCATCCTTTAGAGGATATAGTTCATGCCAGCATGTGGACCATTCCCCTTACATTTATCTCACATTGCTTGTGTCATCTGACTGTTTCCTTCTCTATAGGTTACTATCCTGTTGTCATTTTGAGCTCTACGGTTTCTCTTCAAGTGGGTAGGTGCTCTTTTTACACTTTTCTTTTTTACAGTAGTCTTTCTCACATATATACAGATCTCACTCAGTGGTGAGTGTTGCATGATCAGGTACACTTATTCTTAAACATGCACTCTATGATCATTCAGGTCAATAACACTCACTATTGAGATGGGATGTTCTGCAAGACTGCTTGTAGGTTCTTTCTCATGGTGTTTTTCATCATAAATATGTTTGTTCCAGACCATACACTCGTGGACTAACATCAGTAAAGCAGAAGAGGATTGCTGCCTATCCCTGTCGCTCCTTGGTTTGGCTATATCAGGAATAGTCTGCTTTTCAAAATAAGGTTTTTATGTCACCCATTGCACTGTTTCTGGTGTTCCATTCCTCTGGACTCTTCAATGCATTCTCCCACCCCACATTCTTCCAGTGAAGTACAGGATCCTTACCACTTACCAGCTCCTAACTTCTGGGGTGGTGGACCATAGAGACTTCCTCCTGAGTGTGTGGTGGTGATACTCTGCCAGTGTAGATGGTGTATAGATGCTCCTACTGCAGACCTGATGTTCTATTCCAGATATTGCTGTCTGATATTGCTTTTTTTTTCTTGAAGTTGACCTGAATCATTAAGTGAATAAAGTTTGTGATCACTCTGCTTGTAATATGCACATTGGAAAGTCCATCTACAGTACTAGTAGAGGTCATTTTCTTGCTTCTATCATTATCTGGATTTGTGCTTAGTTTTCATTCAGTTTCATAGCAGTGGTACTGGTTGATGATTCCAATTACCATCTTCTTTTACTATTTGACTAGTATATTTACTAACATAACAGTTACTGTAACTGCCCTCTGTTATTACTCAGTGACCACAGTATTTTCCCTTGTCAAAATGCTGTGTATTCAAGTTCTTTATCACATTTAACACATAACTGTCTAAACTCTCAGCTATAGTGGTTAGAACATATTTGTTATAGTCCCCTCATTCTAATGGTTTCCTGTACACATTTTATCAGGTAATGCTCCAGTTTAATCTGGATTGAGCACTTACGACCATAGAAAGCTGAATTAAAGCATATTCTTAGGTGATTGGTCAAAAGCCAGGTCTCTTCTTGAGATTTTACTTCCCACCACAATTGTATTTTAAACCAGGCTTCTCTGTGGGCTTTGATTAGCTCAGTGGCCCAGATAGGTAATAGATATAGACAGGCTTTATATTTGGGAAGGAATTAACTCTATGCTGCCTATTTCAATCTCCCAACTGTTTGAAGAACCTGAATGGTTTGGAATCAACTTATCATGAGCAGTAACAACATTTTAGTGCTTTGAACAAACACTCGTGGTATTGTATTTTATTTTAGTTTACCCTTTTTTTAAATTGTAATAAGAATAAACAAAGACATATATTTTAAGAAAATATACAAGTTGTCACTGACAACTCTTCTTTAAAATAATGACATAGTTCTGTTGAAAGTTGTCACTAAAACTTTACATACTGTCTGTGCAAATTATGAAGTAAATTGTATTTTTAGATCCCAAGATAACCCCCAAAGAAAGTCTTAGTACGTTTGAACTAGCTATAATCATCGGTGGACCAATATGTTTTGTCTGCATTGTTACTATGATAGTTCTTTCCATGTGGCAACAGAAACACAGACTGCGACAATACAGACAAGTGGAAGCAGAATTGGTACTGGAACAGCCCATATTAGGAAACTGCATTAGGAATATGATAGATATGACCACCTCAGGGTCAGGATCAGGTATGTTCATGTTTATTGATTAAAAGTCTTGAATCTTTGTTTGTTTGTTTTTTCATTCTATGATTACATTTTTATGAAGATAACCCAAAAATATAGCTTCGGTGAAATTACTTGAATATTTATATATATTTTTAAAGTTTTGTAAATATTCTAAGATTTTTGATTAAATACGAGTTTATTTGTTTTTATAAAACATTATTTTACATCCCAGAAAACAGATTTATCAGAATGTTCAGCAATTATTTTTATGTATTTATTTCTCAGTTTAATTAAAGGAATATTAATAGGTTATCAGAGCTAATTCATAATGCTTCAGCTGAACCCTTTAAAAACAGAGTTGATTTTAAAATTTAAAATACTTGTGTAATAAGTAAGCTTAAGTTGTATCCTTAAGAGTTATTTCTTGAAGTTTTGATTCCCTGTTAGTGATTCTCACATTATAATCAGGACATCTAAATAAATCAAATGTTATATATATGAGAACATCTGAAATAAAAATAAAAGGTTACAACTGCCATATGACCAAAATGTTGACCACATATTTCTATTTTGCTTGTAATGGTTTTAATCTTTTTTAGACAGCAGTGCAAATGAATGTAAAATTTATTATCAACTTACAAATATTAATTCTTATTTGTTTGTTCTCCCTTTAATGTTTTCTAGATTAGTCTTACCCCTTTCAGTTTCTTGCATGAGTAAACAGGATATATAGAACCATCAAGATATACAAAGTTCCCTATTATCTTGCATGTTAAGGAGTTTGGATCCAAAAGAATGAGGTCATAATATGCTAGTATGTACAAGAACTTAATCATTAGCTGAATCACATTGGTATTTCCAACTTGCTCAAATATTATAGAAACCTATGTCTTAATAAAAGTTCCACAAAACAATTTAACACTAATCTTTTGCTGTTTTTCTTTATTCTGCAACTCAATCCCTTTAATTTTCATCTTTATTGTTGTTATTATAATATATGCTATATCCATTATTCATACTTTCATTTAAGAAGTATATTCTTGCTTTTCAAATAGTTCTAGCTATTGAATAGGTGAATAATTTTCACATCAGATGGTAAAAATGTTTCCTTTTAATTTGGAATTATACACTACCCTGTCAGCATAAATTTTTGATAAGATTTTACAAAAACTAAATGACTTAAGGTCTCAAAACAGTAAAAAAAAATAGAATGGGCGGGTTGTAAACTAATGTTTCAGCAACCTTATTCTAGTTTTTAAACTATTTTAAGACCATTACATGAGTAAATATAGTGAGCTGAAGATGAGAAAGGGAGATTAAAATGTTAGGATCCACTCCTAGACATATGATTTGTTTTGTAGTAATGTCCAGAAGGAAGCTGCATCACAATAAGCTTCTGTTGATGTTTCAGTAGTACACCAGTATTTCTGAAAGGATGGGTGAATGGACTAATTTCATTTTCAGAAATATGCTGTTTCATTGATTGTGGTCTGTTGTGAGTAAAAACAGGTTGAATTAGTTTTAAAAGCAATAGTAGAAATGAATTCATATACAGCTGCTTCCATGCAAAGTTTACTGGTGGTAAATAAATTACACCAAATGGTAAGGAAAAAAAAAAGAAGAAAAACTGAATATCTAAATAGTCATTTGTAAATAAATATGTATAACACAAATACTTATAACTAAATATGTATATATTGTGTGTGTGTGTGTGTGTGTGTGTGTAAAATGTCCATTGCTAGATCCCATCATAATTTATTTTCTCATATCTTTAGGACACTTTTTTTCATTAAATGTTGAGAAATGCATTAACATAAATCCTGATTATAAAAAATCTCAACAGTTGAATAGCATGGAGCTACTGAGATGGTATTAACAGTCTTAGCACAAAGAAATTTAATGGTTAAGTCTGTAAATGTAGTAATTGAAGCTGTAAAAGATGAAAGAATATTTTAACTTATGCATCATGAAACATAAATTCCTAAGCAACTTGTATGCTGTTAATTTTAAATAGATCTACGTTTTCTTTAACATAAAACACTTTTATATAAAAAATTTACTGATATGTAATTTTTTAAATCAATTATCCATGAACTCTCTCAATACGGGCTCAGTCAATTTGACCGACCACTTGCCTCTTTGTACTCATTTAAAGTCTTTATAGATTTGATACTACTAACTTTTAATATAGTGTGTATATGAAATTTGGCAGTCTTTCAGTAAACATAAGTCTTTCACATATAAAAAATCATATTTTAGTGAAGTATTCTTAATAAACCAAATAAAGATTTTTTCATGAATATATTGAGTATTTAAACACTGTTTGTTTTGAATAGCCCATATGCAAAGACATTTTCATGTTAAGGTTAAAGATACTTCACCTCAAAAATCTCAAATTTCATTTGTGTAATCTCTAAAACCTCCTAAATACATTTCAAATGTTTTTTAGTAAAACTTTATATTTTATCTGTTATTTCTTTTCCCTAACTCTATACAATGTTGGTCAAATTGTCCAACCTTGTAACCACCAAAAAAAAATTGAAATAAATCTAAATTACCCTCTTTTTCTTTCTATAATGACTTCGAATTTTAACATGAAACTACATTTGTTTATCCTAAGTAGCTTTAAACTCATAACAG